ATGACGAACTACCTTCAACATGCTCGAGCAAACAGCCGACCTCCAATCTGCATATGGATATCACGCTGACGTGTACGCGGTGATATCAAGGCGACGAGGGGGTTGGGGGAGATGGGCGGTTGGGGGGGATGGGCTGGGGGGCGCCGGGGGGGGAGGGGGGAAGCTTGTGGAACCCCCGGCCAATAGCTTTGACGATTTAGTTAGTCCCCCTTCTCCCGCGTCCTGTCGGTAGGAAAAGCTTACGTCAACTGACTTTCTGTTTTTCCTTTTCCGCTTTTCTCCATAAGAAAAAGGAGATTACACAGCCTATCTGTTTCCCCCCCACCAAAAAAAAAAAAAAAAAACAGCCTATCTGGCGAGTGACACGGCATGTCTGTTGATGAATGAACGATCTCCAGTTCATATCCTATCCTATTGGGAGAAGGTCCCATTCACTCGGATGGTCTGTTCCTGGCCGTGGATTCCCAAGATCTATGGACAGAAGAGAGCACTCCATGTGAGTTGGGCACGTCCCCCGCCCGCAGGAATCATGAGACGGATAAAATGACGATAGGGGCTAACCCGAGCCTCTTTTTTCTTCCAGTGGACCCGAGCCTCTTTTTTCTTCTAGTGGACCCGAGCCTTCTTTTTTTCAAGTGGACGCGAGCCTTCTTTTTGAGGGCACAGAGCAGACAGATTTTTGCCCGGGCCTAACCCGAAACAGTGGGCCCGAGCCTCTTTTTCGGGGTGCAGATTTTGCTCAGACCTAAGAAAGCAGAGGCGCCGCGCTATTTGCTTGGCACCCCTACCGTCTGACCCCTAATACAGCTATAATGACCGGGCGTTCTATTCGGGGTGACTACGGTAGTTCACAGGAGCCTAAAGCGGCTAAGCTACCTTCCAAGGCTCACGAGCCTTGCAACTGTGCCTTTTCAAAGTGGCCTGTGGCTTCTGCGCCCCTCATAGTGGTATTTGCTTGGCACCACTACCGTCTGACCCCAAATACAGCTATAATGACCGGGCGTTCTATTCAGGGTGACGACAGTAGTTCTTTTTTTTTTTTTTTTTTTTTTTCTAA